CTATACGAAGTTATTAAGAGTAGCAAGTATAGGAGGTGGCTCCACGGGCCATATACGCGGTTTGTGAAAGGGAAAGCAATTTTTTATGCAATTCTCATTGATAACCTATTTTTGCATGGTTTCCAGCATTGGGCAGTTTACATAGGACGTCATGAAGATGTTCCACTTGTTGTTCATCTCTCCGGTGGCGATGGAGATTTTGATAAATTAAGTGGAAGCACGTTGGACTCGCTCAGCAGTGGGTCAAGTGGTATATCGAAAGCATGTACCGCCCAGGTCGAGTTCCCTAAAGTATAGTGTCTATTTTTGGAGTGAATTCAAGTAAGCATTCTGAAAGTGGTTTTTAAGGTGCGTTGTGACCCATTGATAGCAGTGGCTGGTGAAAATCTGGTGCGAATCAACAATGCCCATGACATTGATCACCAGCCATTTCCTCCGAGGATAGTTGTAGAACGAGCCACACTGCAGGTATGATTACTGTACCTAGGTAGTATTACGAAGCGGAGATGGGTGCTAACTTAGTTGGGGGGACCACGCGGCGGCGCGGCGCTCTGTTCGTCTGCTCCTCTAAGGCTTAGTCCAAGGGGCAGTTACTATTTCGTCGCCACGTGGCAGTTTCGAAATACGCGCCATCGGCGGACTAAGCCTTGGAGGAGCAGACGAACAGCCGCCGCGTGGTCCCCCCCAACTAATAAGTTAGCACCCAGAGATGTGCTACATATGTAGACAGTAGACACTGAGCTTGTCATCAGAAAATTCATTCCAGCTGGGTTCTGGAAATTACAACATCTTTTTGAACAACTGCGAGCATTTTGTGAAGTGGTGCCGTTATGGAAATAGGATCAGTGGACAGGTAGGATTTCGGAAAAGACTTTGTTTGCAAAAAGTCTGTTTTTTGTAATTTTGGAAGGTGAACCTCATCTGAAATACATGCATGGGACTAGCTTTACCCTTCTAGATGGTATAATTCACCAAAACATGCGAATGAAGGGTTACATGAGCAAAGTCTGAAAGATAGAAGATCGTCCTCTGATTGCAACAGATCTGTAGCAAAAACGTCCAGAAAAGTGCCGTCAGGCCGAAAGTAGATGTTTTCTATCTTGTTTTCTATTTTATATCTATTTCATAATCAC